CCGACGCAACACAGAGCCCCTCCCGACAGGTCGGGGTGGCTCCTTTCCCATCTTTAACATTTTTCCAAGTCGAGTGTTTATAAAACAATCTCTTATGCACCCCTTGGAGGTGAGGACCCCTGGGGCCAGAACAAGAGAAGAGTGTTTCATCCAACTAAGCCACTGCTGCCCCTATACCTACAGCGGAACCTGAGACTCCAGGGCAGAACAGGAATATTTGTATGGTTGTTACACATGAAGCTTGAGCGTGGCCTTTTCTTCTTAGCACATGGCTCACCACTATATTAGCACAGTGCATAATTGGGAGGTTGTCTAAAGTGAATGGGTTTTAATAGGATTGATTGCTCCAATTGCTCAGAAAAGTTGCTTCACTGAACTACAAATCACATAATCCACTAGCCATCAAGTTTTGCATTTGCTTTGCTGTGTTGTTGTTGTATGCCTTCAAGTGGTTTTTGATTTATGGAGACCCTAAAGTGAATCTGTCATGGGGTTTTCTTGACAAAATTTATACATTACTTTTCTCTGAAGCGGAGAGTGGGTCTTGCCGAAGATCGCATATTCCATGGCTAAGAGGGAATTTGAACTCTGGTCTTCTGAAGTCTTGGTCTAACGTTCAAACCTCTGTGCCTTTCTGGTTCTCTTGTTTTGTATAGATTGTAATTTTAGCTGCACGTTTGGAAAGATTTTAGTGGCTCGACTACGGCATCTCTGTGTGAAGGCTTGGGGCTTGGGTTAATACGTTTAAAATAGATCTGTTTAAAAATTTTGATGAAATAATATTTCTTTTTGCTATCATGACAGATGACAGAAAACTCTCTCTGATACTCTTCTTACTCCCTTCCAGGAAAAAGTAAGAAGAGGGAAAAATGTAAAAATCCACAGCAGTATCCTCTGATTGAGACTCAGTTCTGTCCATGTGACAAGTATAATGCTCAGCCGGTGGGAAACTGGTCAGACTGCATTTTACCTGAGGGCAAAGTGGATGTCCTACTGGGAATGAAAGTCCAAGGAGATATCAAAGAATGCGGGCAAGGCTACCGCTACCAAGCCATGGCTTGCTATGATCAAAACGGCAGACTTGTTGAAACATCCCGATGCAACAGTCATGGTATTTAAAACAATTCTCTTTTTCCTCCTTTTTCTTTTTCTTCCTGACCGTTCACTTTTTTATATATCATGGGGAAAACAAAGAGAATTTTGTGGGGCTTAAGGGGAGAGGGGACAGTGGCGACATTTAATATTTTGAAAGCATGTTATTATATTGGCAGGGTGTTCTGAGTCAGTACAGATTGAGAAAATTCTCCCAGCATGCTAGGATAATGCCTTATCTTTTAACTTTTTGCAGGCAGATTTGTGTGAGAGTTCATTTAATCTCCATTCACACACACACACACACACACACACAATAGGCTCACTGAAATAACTGGTTTTTGCTAGTTGTTACTGACTATATTCCTATTGATTTCAGTAGGTCTACTTTTAGGTGTCTGGATCGTATCTCCAGGGATTACATTTTTAAAAACTGTGTTCCTATTTATCATTTGTTGTGAAATCATAGCAATCTTGTGCAGAATACAGCAATATCAATATATTTTAAATTTACTTTCTTTTCAGTAGGTTAGATGTGATGACACCCTTGCCACATTTGCACTGTAATAATGTGATTTGCACAGTTTTTCCCCCATCTGCATTATTGTGGTTATCACCACTTAATTTGCCCCACCTTGTGCTTCATAATTGGTTTGCTTCAGTATAGGACAATATCACGCTGTACTGTTATAGCACTATTAATTCCACTTTGATTACTATCACTGCCTCCTGTGGAATCCTGGGATTTGCAATTAAGGGATAGGCATTTAATACTCTCAGCTAGAGAGCTCTTAACGCTGCAGTAAACTACAAATCCCAGAATTCCACAAGAGGCAACCATAGCAGTTAAAGTGGAATAATAGTGCTATAACAGTGTAGTGTGATATTGTGTTTTAAATATATATATAACTGTAATACGCTATTATGACACCATGTAATTACAGCACATCCATCTCTGCCCAAATCTCTCATCACAAGAGGTGGCAGAGGAAGAGAAACAGACCTCACCATCCCCAATCATTTTTGATATCTTTCTCCTATGAAAAACAAAAGTGCTTATCATGCTAGTAAGTTGCTTCAGGTTGTCATGTTCAAAAACACTTCATTTGTCCTCATTAAACTGCAATAACACTATTACAGCATGACATCACAGTGCTTTTATACAGTTACCTTAATAATAATAATAATAATAATAATAATTTTTAAAAAGTAATGCTGTGATGGTAATACTATGGTGTATGATACTATGGGAAAACAGTGGCGAAATCTCTGGAAAATACCCCTATGTAGTAAAGGCATCTGAATAGATTTGTTCAATGATTAAACTGGTCAGGATTGTTGTGTTATTGCACTACAGTTTTAAAAATTGAAACAATCTGAATAGGGTTTCAAGAGCAGAGACCACAGAAAACACAGCTCTTCTTTGGGGAAGTCTAGTCCTCTGCGTCCAAATGCCAGAAGTAGTCTGAGGTTTCTCTTTTGATTTCCTGGGGAATGCCCAAGGGAGGGACAACCAGATTACATTTCATCCACTAATCGATTGATTTCATTGTGATGTGGAACGAGACATCTACACTCAAACTGGCTACTGAATTATACTGGGTAAAGGGGTAATTAACAGATTATTTTCAGCATGAAAAAAAATTGCATTCCCAATGGCATGGTGCAATAAGGAAATTCAGCAAATTGTATTCCTCTATTATTTATTAACATATTAATTGTGTCATTGCCAGTTTATCTTGTAAAAATAGTATTATAGAAGAACTTTTTGCTTAGACGTTAGAGGTAGATGAGTTATAGAAATATTTTATTTTACACAAAAAAAGTTTTGAAAATGCAATTGGGAGCAGTTATATTATGAGATATGATGGTTGCAGAAGACAAAGAGTTATATTTCATCTCTTTTCTCTCTGTTACTCTTCTGTTGCATGAGAGGGGAGAAACAAGCAGCATGATAATTTTAGTCCTAGGCTCTTCCCTTATCCCCTGATGAGCTGGACTGCATATTTAGATAGGCACCAGGATCCAGATTGTTAATTTTACTTCATTCTCACTTAAATAAATGGGTCTCAACCCATGCCTAAGCCAGCCAGGCATAGTGGTTTGAGCATTGGACTATGACTCTGAAGACCAGGGTTTGATTTCCAGCTTAGCCATGGAATTCCCAGCTTGGCCAGCTCAGCATGTCACACTCAGTCTCAGGGGAAGGCAAACTTCCTCTGAACAAATCTTTATCTCCCTAAATTTTTCTTTTATATTTTCTTTTCTTATCTTTAATTCTATCC